AAGAAGAAAAAATCGGGAAAATGTAATTATCTGACATGTTTTAGGTTAAAAGTTGGTTATTTTTAGGGGAAAATGAGACCTGCAGGACGGAAATTCTTCAGACTTATAAGGTTTAAATTACGATCTAAATTTTGACTCGGGGAATAACTAAATTTTACAAAATTATCAAAAGTTTTGCAGCTGGGTCAGTCCACGTCAAATCAAACAGTGTTGTTCACCACACCGACTCAGATTTTACTCAAATGTTGTGTAGATGATTTATAGGATTACAATTGAGGGGCCTAAAAGTAAAAGGGTTTAAGTGCATTTTTGTTAGTTCTGAGATAAATGGCTTTAAAGTTAACTTGAATTTTAAAATTCTAGAAAAGAGTTTTAAAAACTGTGTGAATATTTTAGTTTTGTTTAAAGACAAAAAAGGATTATAAAAAAAAGGAATTGTTCAATTTAGCTTTTTTGTTATTTTTTTTTACAAAAATGTACTTAAATCGTCATGCATGCATGTAAGACAAAATTAAGTGGTAAAATTATTTAAATGCAATTACTGTACTAGAACAAAACTTTATTTTTTATAATTTGGGTAAGTTTTACAACAAAAAGTATTATTCATAATCAGAATCGCTTGTGCGAACATACGTCCGACGTCTGCTGGCCGACATCCTATGGCCGATTCTATTCCGACGTCGGATCAATGTCAGTAGGGACTAACACTGAAAAAATATCTGTGAAAACACGTAATCACTTGACATGTTTTAAAATACTTGTCAAGGCTTTAGCAGCATAGATAATAGCCTATGTTTAGCAGTAAAAGGTGCACTTTAATCGTTTTACCAAAGATATATTTTAAAATATTTTGACAAGTTGTTAAAGACGATAAGAAATGGCGCCAGGGAATGTAAAATGTACTTATATAATTTTACCACTAAGTTAGAATATTCTTTAGGTGTGATATTCTGTGACCATTTATTTAAAAAAGTGTACTTGAACCGTTTTACTTCCAAGCCCCTCAATTAATCTTAATTTTGAAGGTTCTACGATAGCTAATTATCGAGAAATTAATTATTGTAATTTTAAAATTTTTAGCAAGATGCGACTTTTGTTTTATTATTTTCTTAAATAAGTCCTTATCTGCACAAGTTATTTAAGTGAAAATTTGTTTCCAGGGGTAACTTTTTAAGCTGATTTAAAAAAAATTATCAAAACTTGTGTCGATATTTATATTCTTTCCAGGTTTTTTTCTGACAGTAAGTAATCCTAAATTTGCATCATCTGACGACAATCATTACAGGGTCAATTCAGAATTATTTATTATTTATTATCTCAAACTCTAGAATGTGACTGAAATGGATCACAACAGTATCTTTGTTGGTCTTATGTCGAAAGCAACATTTTTTATGGTATTAAGTTGTTTACTTAAAATTTCAGAATACAATGATTTCTTTTTGCTCCTCTGTAAAACTATTTCATTCAAAAATTTCAGTATGTCCTGAATAACTGGTTACGTAACATTCAGTCTGCAATATGCCACCAAATATGTAATTTGACAGCAGATACACTGTTATATTGCTTGTTATTACCAAAGTTTTATTTTTGCAGTGAAGAATTAATGATGGATCAACGCAATAAGTAAACACTATTTTGTTTAATGTTATTGTTTTGTTGTTGATATTTTTTATTTTGTATAAATTATTGTTACTTAATTTTCAGTATTTATATTTACGATATTTGAACGAATAATTATTTTTAATATTATTTAAAATTGATAAAAATAAAAAATTAATAATAATTATAATACACCGCCGCGGCGGCGCGCCGTAAACAATAATTAAAATGTAATTATTATTTTACGGCGGAGTTGAAAGGAATAAAATGTCAATCTGTCAATTAAACCTTACCTAAAAATAAAAAAATAAATGTCAGTCCTTTGTCAAGGAGAGTTTTCAAAGATTTATTGGCATAGAATTAAAAGTTAAACTTAAGTTTTTTATCACATGTAAGTACAATAATTTTTTTCTCAGCTATAAGGTGGAAAGCCAAAATGATTTTTTTTCTGGAAATAGTGGTATACCATGTAAACAACACATAAAAATTAATACATGTGATCCTGAGCAAACATGCCGAAAAAAAAATACTTTTTTTTAACAAATGCAACATTACAATTTCTTATGCAAAAACAATAGACAATACACAAATTCTAATTATTTTTTTAAAATTAGTTTGAAAAGTAACCTCTAGAAACAAATTGTCACTTAAATAACTTGGGCAGGTAAGGGGTTATTTAAGAAAATAAAACAACAAAAATCACATCTTGCTGAAAATTTTAAAATAACAATAATTAGTTTCTCGGTAATTAATTATGAAAAAACGTTCAAAATTAAAATTTGTGGTTATCCTAGCCCATGTATCATCTGCACAAAATTTGAGGAAAATCTGAGTCGGTGTGGTGAACTTTCTTATTATTGTGTTTGATTTGACGTGGACTGACCCAGCTGAACTAAATTTTTTGCATCTAACTGTTAATATATTTCTGGTTAGTGAATTCCATCTTCCTTAATATTACACTAAGGTAAAAGATCTATTACCAAATGATTTCTAACTGCGGGTAAATTACTACAATTGGTTGTTACAAAAAGTAGCTGGAAAGCCTACATTTACGTTTTATGTTTTGTGGACTGATGAAGCGAAATTTTCAAGAGATAGATTTTTTAATCAATTCTTTAGAAAATCCGCATATAGCTCTTGAGCATCACCATCAACAACGGATTGGGATAAATGTGTGGGCTAGAATTCTGGATATTGAGCTTATAGGACCAGTAATATTGCCTGACAGGGTAAATGAAAATAACTTTCTTGAATTCCTAACAAACAAATGCAGACGATCTTCCCATGGCGGCAATCCAGAACATCTGGATCCAATTAAAGAAGGTACCAGATCACTTAGTATAGCTAAATGGAGAATTTTCTGAACAGTGGATAGTTCAAAATGGGACAATGCCATGGCCACCAAGATCCTCAGACCTTACCCCGCTCGATTTTTTTCTCTGGTGTCATATAAAATCCCTTGTTTATAAATAGAATTCAAGATGCTTTCACAACCGCACTGCCTCAATAGCCGAAACAAGTACATAACAACATTGTGCGGCGACCTTAACTTTATTTAAATGTGTAAGGACAAAATTTTAGGCAGTTTTTATAATTATTTTAGTACATTGTTCCTCAGGTTTTGTTTTTTGATTATGAATAGAAGTTTTCCACGGGCATCCAAAGCCTGAACATTTTTTTTATTTCTTAAAATTTTATTATTATAGTCATAAATTTAAATGACAAACTCAAACTTTATGATTTTTTAAAACTTAACTATTTATTAATTCTTTATAGAAATAAAAATTAGAATACCAGATACCAGTAGTTATCGTGTTAAAATTTAATTATACCTACAACATAACTCTTTTTAATTATTTGTTTAAGCAGACCAAAATAGAGAATTATGACAAAAAAAAAATAAATAAATAATTAAATATGCCATATTATTGGCAAATGTAAGTCCCTCCCATGAAAATATAATAATAGTAATAGTAATAAGATTTATATTATTATTACTATAAGCCTATCAAAAAATTATATTTTTTAAAATTATGTATGGATATTTTAAACAACATAAAATGAACTTAAATATATAAATAAGCTAACGCATTTTAAAATTATCATTGTAGTTAGTAGTTTAGCACAAAGAGAAGCTTTTTAAAAATTGTTATGTTTTAGATACAAAATCAAGTTGTGGAGCAGGGAAGCCCTTTATTTTGAAGATAAAATACATACATACATAAATATTTAAATGTTTATAAAGTTCATATGTTGAATAAAATAAAATAAATGAATTTAAGTTAAAATAACATTTTTATTTATTTTTTCTAGTAGTCGTACATTTGTTTTAAGTCCATAAAAATTGCTTTAACTTTTGCCATCCTTGCAAAAATGTATTCATTTACACTAAACACATGTGAAAAGTTAAGTAGTTTACAAACACAACCCTTAAGTATTTTTTTACTTTTTTAATTAAAATATATTTCAACACATTTAAATTTATAAAGACAAGAAATAAATTAAATATATTTTTTTTTTACTTTTTTAATTAAAATATATATTTTTTTATTTCAACACGTTTAAAGACAAGAAATAAATTAAAAATATTTTTCTTCTGTTTAATTATTTGTTATATACGAGTATTATGCCTTAAGGAGTTAAAGTTGGAATGGTTAAAATAATTTTAAAATAATTATAACTATTATAATACTGATTTGGTGATTTTATTTAGGTATATGGTACATCTCACTTCAAATGTTCAACCAAAATTTAAATTTAGCTGTAATATTTTTTTCCGGTAACGACACAAAAAATAACGTTTTTTTATGATTTCTCTTAATTTTAGAACCAGTATTTTACCGTATTTTTATCGCATTTTATTGCCGATTGACCATTAGCGTACGGATTAAGTGGCGCGTAATGTTTACTTTAGTGAGTTGAAAAAATAGGTAATTTCATCAAATTTATATATTTAATGTCTAAATAAGAAAAATTAGAAAAATATAAGTCAGCTGCATTGAAAAAGTCGATCTTTTTACCACTGTTTGTAAATAAATTAAGATTTGATAAATCCTATTTTTTGTTGGCAAATATTCGAGAGGTCTCTTTCTTTAGATATACCTACATATAAACAAAAAATCTTCAATTTTAAAGATTTATATTTTTATGTAATTTTTGGTCATGTTTTGTTTTGAGTTTTAAATTTATACAAAGTTATTTACCTAACTAATTTATTAGAGGTTTATAGAGAAATAAAAAAGACATCAATCTTAAATTTTGGTTACTGCTATGGCGCCACGATATATTATTTATAAATTTCGAACAAGCCTTTATAACATTTGCCGCAAAGCTTTAAAATAAGATTTAAAAAAGTTAAGTAGGTATACATAAAACAATTTATAAATCAAGTGTATACGACGATGGAATGCTTGAAAGCAGAAGTAATGATGGAAGGAGAATCAGAGGAGTTTGAATATAATAAATGGGTGAGGCAAGGCGATTTATTTTAGCAATATAAGGTGTCATGTGATCGACAGGCATAAAAGGGATAAAATCTGTATAAATAATTGCGAAAGCAGATGACATAGCAATAATAGCGAGGAACTTCAAAGTACTAAAAGATACAACAGAACTGATGGTATGCATTAAAGATAATAGAACTAAACAACAAACAGTTGAAATAGGAAATAACAGGTATGAAGTGGTGACTATAGTCACCAGCTATAGCTTTAAATATCTGGTAATATTAATAAATGACAAAAACGACCGGACAGACAAAATAAATCCAAGAATACAACTGGTAAATCGGGCATACTACACATACAGCCAGTAAATGAAAAGTTACAATATAAGTAAAACAACAAGGATAAAAAATATACAATGCAGCCATAAGACCGGTAGTAACCTATGCAGTAGAGACAATGACTATGACAAGTAAAGAAGAAGAGAAATTAATATGTTTTAAAAGAAAACTTCTTAGAAAAATATACGAAACAGTTAGAATAGGTAAGACCTGAAGATGGTACATGCGATTGTACCGAAATATAACGCCCGTGGAAACCTAAAGCAGAACATATAGCGCGATAAAATAGTTTTAATTTATTGCGGTATAGCTGCAATCAAAAGATTAGATTGATGTTTATTTTAGTAATCTACCTCTTATAAATCAGTTAGGAAAATTATCTTATATATATGTACTCACCAAAGCATAAAGAACATTTTATACAAAATGAACTGTTAAATATTCTTTAAAATATTTATAATTGTTGATGACCGTTTGCTTAGGAGCGCATGCGACAATTAAAATAACCATTTGTTTAAAACAAAAACTGTATTAAACAACCCATAATGGGTTGAAAAGCCTGGTGCGCATGTGCTAACGGTCATAAACAAATGTAGGTAAATATTTCACTTTGGAATTTGTTTACAATTTTCTCTATGCTTTGGTGAATTTTAAAAAATAAAAAGAGAACATATAAAAATTTGAAAATATATATTTAGTAAAAAATGGTATAAAAAAGTTTTACTCAACGGTTTATTATACAATTGTATATATTGTAAAAAAAACTAACAGAACTGCAAATTGTCGTTATTAATTATTTCGATTTATAAACATTTTTCTTGATTCTGTAGCAAGATTTAAGTTACACATACACGGTCACAAGTTATCACCGCATCCTAAGCTAATAAATTGTATAGTCTGCAGATCTCAGAGAGTCTTGTGTCATTTCTTGGAAAGCTTATGTTAGATAAAATTAAATTATAAATATATGTTAAACACAATAATGTTCTTGCTTTTGTGTAATAAATATAATCTTATGTTTTAAGTTGAAAATAAAGCTTTTAAAAACATACTTTTTAATTTGAAAAACTTAAGTGGCGCAGTCGTGACGGATAAGTGTAGTATTTTCCAAAATCGTACCGATTGTAACGTGTTTTTGGACTAATCGTGAGTTTCAACTCTTTGACACTTGAACCATTTTCCGACCTTTCTCCAAGTCTTTGGAGACCAAAAAAAAAAGATATTGAGGACCGCCGAAAACCATTTGTACAGACCCAAAGACAGGATCACCGAAGGAGTTTCTACGTAAGTCCTTCACCTCCTACTTTTCTCCGTATAAGAAATTTAGGTTATTTTTAAGGTATTTTTAGGAATCAAGGTTAAAGATTAAACCATATAAAACTTTATAAAACATATATTCTAATTCATTTTAAGTCTGACAGACAACGAATTAGCCGTTTTAAGTAATTTATTTTTAAAATCATTAAGAGGAGACGATACCAACGAATCAATGACTACGACACGATCGTTTTGTTGGTGATGTCAAAAATTTAAATAATTTTATTTCTGCTTGACAATTTTTGTTCGGCACGTACGGCGATACCGAAGATGACAATTTGAAAAAATATTTAATTCGCGCAAGCAAAACTAAATTAATTTTAGTTGGCTCTCGTTCCGAACTTAATACTTGGAAAGATTTTAAAGTTGCTTTAAAAACTTGTTTTGGTGACAATCGTAATATAGAATGCCTAGAACATGATTTGTTTATGGCAGGACCCTTTAAAAACGAAGTAATCTTGCTCAAAAAAATAGTTTACAAAATATTGACGCAACTTCAAAGAAAATTTACATAGAAAACTATGACAAACTTACTATAAGAACATATATTCGTGGGTTATCACCCCAAATTCAATGTACTAGACTTAAAAACCCCACTTCTCTAGAAGAAGCATTAACATACATAACTGAGGAAAAAAACTTCCAATAAACTCAAAATCTATTTAAAGCCCCTTCGACATTCTTTCGTAACCCACCACTTAAACAAAATAATCATCCCCAAAATAATCACTTTTATCCGCACCCTAACTATTATTATAATAATCCTAATAATTACAAATCCAATCAAAATTATTGTCAAGCTAACCTTTTCCCAAGAAACTTCCCAACATTACAAGCCCCAAATTCTTCAGGATTCCCCCCCAACCAACCAATTCCTATTCAACCACGTCAAGTACCCCAAAAATTCTTTTCCAATAACCAAGTTTTTGGTCCCCCAAAAGATGTTTTTAAACCAACTGGTATATCCCCAAATAATAAACCCGAATCAATGTCCACCAAAACCTCATATACCTTACCTACCTCAAAGAGAACTAACTTTTCCCAGAATAATTTTAAACCACCCGGACCCCGCAACTAAGGCAGAAGAACTTTTTAATATAGACTCACACACAAGATAACACAAACGAAATTTATACAGAACAAGAATCTTACTATCAAAATAATTACGACATATCAGAAAATTACTTAGTAGATCCTGATAACACTCAAAATTTTCAGATGGACCATTCGTTTCCGAAATGCTCACTGAAACTAAAAATAGTTTACCGTATATTAAAATACAAAATCCCCCAATGAAATTACTAATCGATACAGGCTGTTATAATTCTATACTTAAACCCTCGTTAGCTCAAAAATATTTTCCTTAAACGATTTACCATTCACCCTCTCAAATAAAAACTGGTGTAGGTAAAAAAGAAGTTAGATTTAAAGCTGACATTCGCTATGCTATGCCAGAACTTTGCAGTAACAATAACATAACATTTAATCTTTTCGACTTTTACAATTTCTTCGACGGTATTATCGGACTTAAAGAACTAATAAACCTAAAATTTTTAATTGAGTTAATTAACAAACAACTAATAAATCACTGAAATCCCAATATTTTATAGAAACCCAAAATTAGAAAGATATAAAATAAGTCTTAACTTCTTAGAAATAGCTTCGGTAAAAATTCCAGTCTCCACCCCTAATAACGACATAATTATTTCCGAACAATATATTGAAGATTTATACATTCCTGAAACATTAAGAACAGCAAAACACTTTTTTGCACAAGTAGAAATTTTTATCTCTGAACCAATAAAATCAATCCTCTTTAATGATTCGAAAAAACAAAATTTTGAATTTTATCATTTTGAAGACTTTTTACCTAAACATAAATTGGAATAGAATTTCGACATACAAGACTTGATAAGACACGATCATTTAAATAGCGAAGAAAGACGATACCTTTGATCTTTGCAGAGAGTATTCCGACATCTTCCATAAAGATAACGATAAACTTTCCTTTACAAACAAAGTTAAACATTAAATTAAAACTAGCAATGAAATACCAATACACGCAAAATCTTATAGATACCCCTTTATTCATAAAGAGAAGGGACAATGACAAATTAATAAAATGCTCGATGACGGAATTATTAGACCAAGTCAAAGCCCTTGGATCAGTCCAATTTGGATAGTTCCAAAAAAGATCGATAGTAGCGGCAAACAAAAGTTTAGGTTAGTTGTCTACTATCGCAAAGTAAATGAAAAGACAATTGACGAGCGATACCCTCTTCCCAATATTAACGATATTCTTGATAAGTTAAGTAGATTATTTTTTTACACTGAATCTAGCTTCTGGCTTCCATCAAATCGAGATGAACCCCGACTCCATTACCAAAACAGCTTTTAACGAGGAAAATGGCCATTACGAATATGTACGAACGCCAGTTGGTCTATAGAACGCACTCGTTTAGTCCGCTGGCGACTCAAACTTGAAGAGTTTGATTACCAAATAGTATGTATACAAAAAGGGCTGTCAAAACACCAACGCCGACGCACTTTCTTGAATAGAAATTTACGCAATAGAAAATAAGTCTATTATAGGAAAACCTGGTGACATTACAAACGAAATTAACGATTTTCTTTTACCGACAAATGACGAAATTGTAACACTTGAAGACCTTGACGACCTAAACATAATTTTTAACCCTAAAGACGAAAAATCAGAAATTATTATTCAATCCAATATTCAAGTTACAGTGAAACCGTATTTTCAGCCAGTGGCGGCTGGTGGATTTTATGTATACCAATATCTCAGTTATTAGACATGGGACCCACACCAAATTTATAATAGCTTATACGCTTATGACATTAAATAAACAAGTTTGGCGCAAACAGAATTTAAATTAAAGTTTGCGAAAAAAAGTTAGTTTTTCCTGTCGCCTCACCCGCCTCCAGGCCCCCCTATTTATTTTATTAAAATAAAAAAATACTTAAAATGGTATAAAACCTGTAATATTTGGATTTTTTAAATAAAATTTTAAAGTTGTCGATAAATTATAGTAGATAATAAATTGCACCACTTTAATTTGAATTATCTTAAATAGGGGGGCCTGGAGGCGGGTGAGGCGACAGGAAAAATTATTTTTTTTTCGCAAACTTCAATTTAAATTCTGTTTACGCCGAACTTGTCTATTTAATGTCATTATAAACTATTATAAATTTGGTGTGGGTCCCATGTCTAATAACTGAAATATTGGTATACCCAAAATCCACCAGCCGCCACTACATTCAGCAGCTGAATGAATAGTTTTCGGTAATGGGTATATTATAATGTAAGTATAATCCTTCAGAAAACATTTAAAAATCATTCTTATAATTTAATTATTTCCACACAATTTTTATAAGACATTTTGGACAAAAATCAACAAAAAGAAATAATATCTCACCACCCCGAAATTAATGAATCTGTTTTAGCTTTAAAAAAGATTTATTATTATTGGCCCAACCTACAACCCCTAGTAATTCAAATAGTAATAGACCTGATAAACGCGTACACTCGACATTTATCGAAATTTTTAAAACTCTTAGGGCAGTATGCAGAAACGTTGATTTATTTATATCAACTGATTTTCGCATATACACTGATTTCAGTTTGAACCAATTTGGCAACATAGCAAATTTTCACAGTAAAGATTTGTTAGGTTATCTTACATATACTTAAATATGTGTTTATTACCATATAAGAGTTATATGGTAGTTCTAAAATGTATATTAAATATACACATAAATACATTTATAACTGACTAAACCTTATTATTGACAAAAACTAGGTTTGAGAGGATTGTCCAAATTTTAAACATACACAATTGGGTTAGGTTCGTAGTTTGCAATGTGTGGTACAAGTAAATTTGCATTAGAAGGTATTAATATCTCATTAATATCTCATGGCGGGTGACCTTGGGCGCGCAAACGTCACAAATCCGTCAAATCGCGCTATTACTCGCCGTCCTAAAAACATACTACCCCAGGGTTGGCAATGCTAGTATCAGCTGATATTTATTGACATATTTAATAGTTATTTATGTATTAAGGGCATAAAAAGGTATTTATGGGCCGAGGCGCTATTTCGAGCCCGAGCGCGTTAGCGCGAGGGCTAGAAAAGCGTCGTAGGACCATAAAAACCAGTTATGCCAGCAATGCATACAAAACTTTATGCACGATTAATATATTATTATTTTTAATATATTATTGTTTTTAAAGACGTTTACGTCAAAGAATTTTTGTTATAATTGTCATATTATAATGTCATCGTGCATAAATATTATTGACATCAGTCAGTTTTAAAGTTTAAAGATGAATGAAATTGAGGAAGCAACATAAACATGACTAATTGTAATAACTGAATTGTTAATATAAACTTAAAATAAAATAAGCTCATAGTTTTGCGCCTAATGTTTTTAATTTTTGATGTTTCATTATAGCCCGCTGGGTCATAATAAGACGTTTACGTCAAAGAATTTTTGTTATAATTGTCATATTATAATGTCATCGTGCATAAACATATTCATAGGCTAGAAATTCTCTTATATTTGTTATATCATATTTGTCATATCATATTTGTTATAATATTATATTTGTTATATTTGTTCTATTATTATATTTGTTATAATATTATATTTCTTACATTATATTATAAGAAATGAATAACGGCAAAAAAGAAGTCATTCACAGCCAAGGGCGGCAGATCGTCTACAACGTTCTCCAATATTTAAAACGCGAGTTGAAACGTGAAGAAGATGGTGAAGATCCTGTTATACCTATTAGCCATTTACAAGAGCGAGTGGCCGCAGCAACTGGTGTTTCTTTGAGGACGGTGCAAAGAATTGACAAAGAGGGTAAAACGAAACCAGGCGACAAGAAATTCACTTCGCCACGAAAAACTATTAATAAACCAAATCCCAAGACAACAGTGGATGAGTTTGATGAAGAAGCGATAAGAACGATTATCTATAGATTTTCGATAACACATAAACAACGACCAACTTTAAAAGCGGTTTTTGAAGCTGTCAAAATTGATTGCCCCCATTTGACTGGAAAAATATCTTCATTTCGAAAAATTGTCCGAAAATTAGGATTTCAATGGAAAAAAACCCTGGATAATCGCAAACTTCTTGTTGAAAAGACGGACATCAGAGCGAAACGGACTATTTTCTTGAGAAATCTCAAGAAATATAAAGAAGAGGGTAGAAACATTGTGTACAATGATGAGACATATCTGCACAGTTCACATACTGTGCCCAAGTCTTGGAACGATGGCAACAATAAAGGCTAATAATAATTATTGTACACTGCGGTGGAAAAAAAGGTTTTGTGCCAAACGCTGTTTTTATATTTAAATCTGGTCGAAAAACAGGTGATTATCACGACGACATGAATCACAATTACTATAAAAAGTGGCTAGAAGAGAAGTTGCTGCCCAATTTATAGCCAAATTCAGTACTCGTGATTGATAACTCTTCATATCATAACGTTCTTTTGACACCGAACCCTACATCAAATTGGACTACAGCGGCTATGCAAAAGTGGTTATCGGAACGAAATATATTCTTTGAAAATAAGTAACAAAGCCGGAGTTGTACAAGAAGATTCAAATCAACAAACCGGTGCATAAGAATTACGTAATTGATCATTTATTAGCACAACATAGTCTTGCGTTTACCACCCTACCATCCCGAGCTCAACCCCATCGAAGGCATATGGGCGTTGCTTAAAAATCATATTGCAGCCCACAATGTGACTTTTAAATTAGATGATGTGTGGAAGTTGGCGGAAGACAAATTGAAAAATATTGGAGTCGAGGAATGGGAGAAAGTATGTGCGCATGTGGCAAAATCTGAGGAGGAGTACATTTCAAGAGAACATTTTACCGACGACGTTCATGAATTTATTATAAGGGTTAATAATGATTCTAAGTCTGAATGTAATTATTTTTCATCAAATGAGGATGACAATGATTTCTAACATAGCTATGTACATATCCACTCCTAAAAACTGCATTTGAACAATTAATCTGCAATCCTCGATTTTGGAGATTGATAATTATTGTCTCACAGACAATTATATTTAAAAATGTTTCATCCTTCATGTTAAAACTTGCATTTGGGCAGTAGAGCCTAATTGGCATCTTGAAAGAAAGAATAAAAAAACATTATAGAAGAAAAATGTTGCATATTTTTAAAATGTTTAAGCCTTTTGTCTGAAATAAAGCACATTTAGAAGTTTTAGAACTTATTCATAATATGATATATACTTGTATTAGCAGTAAATCAACATATATTACCATACACAAGAAAAATATGAAATAAAAACCTTTAGGTACATTTTTACAGCAAAATTCGGATATACACAGATTCTATTCTTTTTTTTTTACTGAAATCTATTATATATTTTACAGATCATTGCTCAACAATTGAAGACCTTGCTGCAAAAAGGGGGTAACTTTTACAAAAGTGACTTTTACACCCTTACAACTGTGAACTAGACTTTTCTGCATTGTTTAATGCAAAGATGACTCAAAAATAACTTTTATGGAGTTACCTCCTTTTTGCAGCAGGGTCTTCAATTGCAGTCATTATCTAATGTTACAATATTTTTCATAAAATAAAGAAAAAAACGCTTTACTATATTAGTTGACAGATGACAGATTTGGGAAGCATCCATAGACATTTAAGTTAACTTAAAGGTCTATGCTAGTGGCGGATGTTTTTAGTTTCCATTTATTTATTAAATTGAATGGCGTCTGTCAGCGTCTTTCAAGGTCACCCGCCATGAGATATTAATACCACTATATGAAAAACGAAAATTACGGCTTAAAGCCTTTGAAAAGAACAAAGAAATTTTGTTGGTGGAAATTTTATTCAAGTGTTCTTGTAAAAGATTAATTAATTAGGTATATTATAATTATAATAATTATATTAGTTATAGGAATAAAATGGCAATGCTCTTTTAGCTATTCTTTTACCAATAACACCTTTTTAGGCATTTGGGCAAATGTTTAAAAAAATAAATGCAATGATGCCGAAGACATCAAGAGGGAAAAAAGACATTTAAAATTTGTGACAAGAATATAAAAAAATTTAGAAACAAACTCTAGAGGATAACATGTTAGTTAATAATAATAATAATAATAATATATACTTATTACAGATCACAGGTTTTTCTATGTTACAGATAAATATACAACAATTAAAAGAAATATACATATGTCAAAATAACTTAATGATAACATAATAAAATAAAAGAGACATTAGTGTAGTAAAAACTCATTAAAAGTATAGGGTTCAATCGACAAATATTGATACACATGTTTTTTAAAAAGGCCAATAACATTTAATGATTTAATCTCATTAGGTAATTTGTTAAAACACTTAATACACGAATAAAAACAAGACTTCTCATAGCTACTTAAACGATGACTATTATAAATATAATCTAAAGATCTGCTACTTTTAGACTTCAGGTACTTAAACTTACTTTTATTCTTAAACATACAAATTAGGAGTTCATAAATATAGATTCCAGTTAATGTCTATAAACCGTTGGTTTTAAATACCCCTCTACATGTGTCTATAGTATAATTAATCATTAGTGTTGGGTCCCCTTTTTTAAATAATGGGTTGACTAAAGCTACTTTAAGTTGGCTTGGAAAAATACCATATTTTAAAGAATTATTTAAAATATACAATAAAGGCTCACACAGTTCAAAAACACAAAATTTAATAACAGTATTGGGTACTTCATCAATGCCACTGCTAGTTTTATTCTTTAAATCTCTTAAAATGTTTATCATTTCATTGAAAGTTACAGATTTAACAAACATAGAATGAACATTCACACCAATATCACAGTTGTAGCTATCTTTTTAATGAATTTAATAAATTTGGAGCTGCATCCAATAAAAAATTGTTAAAATCATTACAGATTTCCTGTAGGTTACCTTTAATTCCAAATGCCTTATTATTAGTTCCCTTAACAACAACTTCTTTACTTTTGTTTTTTGAATTTATTATTTTATTACTTAAAAACTTTTTTTTGTATTTATTAAAGCCCTATTATACATTTTTTTTGTAAGATTATATTCGTCTTTATATTTTATATCGCACATACAAGATATCTAGCCTATTTTTTATATTTATTCATCATTAGAATATTGAAGAGAAATATGTTGTTTTCTTATTTTCATGAGTTTTTTAGGAAAATATTCATTAAACAAAGGTAAAAAAATATTAATAATTAATTATATCAACTGAACTAAAAAGTTCTTTATTGTTTGGAGTAAATTGTCTTTTATAAATAAATTTATTTTGAGATTTACTAAAAACGATACTTTTTGAGCTCTATGGTCTGAAAGTTGTGTGTCAACTATAATCGCCTCGTACTCTGTAATATTGGTAAAAATGTTATATATACATGATTTAGAAACATTTGATATCCTAGTATAATCATTAATAGCGGGAAAAAGATTAAATGATTCTAACAAAGACAGAAATCTAAAACTACTTACATCATTCTTTTTTATATCTATGTTAAAGTCTCCAGCAAAAAATACGTTGTTTATCTTATATACCTTATTTAGAATTTCTTCAATTTTTATTAAAAAACTAGATTCCGAACTTGGATTGTGATATACACAAACAACACAGGCACTTTTTCCATTATTAACAAACTCGACTCCAACACATATATGACATGTACGACAAATATTTTTTAAACACAATTTTGGTTTTATTTTATAATCCTTATTATTTATTAAATAGTAATTCTTTTTAAATTATCTAGGTATTATATAAGTAAACATTTATGGAAAATATGTATGTTTTTAATAAAAAATTAATAAATAAATATATAATAATATATTTTTACCCAAGTTTAATGTATGTAGGGGTAAATATTTTACAATGAAACCAAAGAAAGTAAAAATCAATTGATTTCAAGCATTCAGCTTTTCAATCAGACAAAAAAACAGCAAAGTTATTTGATATAATTAACATGGTAGTAATTTTATCTTAAAAAAAAATGTTATTTTTTAATTATATCTTTGTTATAGGTATGTTAACCTTCTGAATTTATTTTTTCAGATATATTTACAAACAAATATACTGTCTATTTTTATCCATATTTTAAATCAGTCGTTAACCACTGATATAAATTTTATTAACCAATTTACATTTTAGATGATTTTTTTGGCCAAAAAACAAATCTAGTGAACCACGACTTAGCAAAATTATTTTCTATGGTTAAAAGCAAATGTCTTAAATGACTTTTTTAGGGAAAATATAAACGTTGAAAGATAATAAAACAATTTATTTAATAAAACAACAGTTTTTAAAGAAAATTACTACGTTGCCATGTCGTGCAAAAACCTATATCCACTGATATGCTTAATCAGTTGATATAAATAAATCGACGTTTCTGCATACGGCCCTTAGAATTAAAGACACAAAATCATCATACACATCTGTTCACATTGTAACAAAACAAAAACCCGTGGATATTATCAACGGTAGATTAAATTCCCTTGACCCTTTCGACATTACCGACGAAATAATTTTAAATCAATTTATGATCGATCGACGCGAACGACTAAAAGCCATCAATGAACAAATTAACAATTTATCTCTAGGAACAAAAAATATTAAAAAAAATAAATAAAAAACGTAACGATAAAGTTTTCTTTACAGACAAATCAGCCCAAGACATCGGTAACAAAATAATTACAAACAAAGTATTTCACAAATCAATGGTTAAAAACCCTAAAGCTTTCTGTTCTCCTTCACAGGAACATGAAATTTTGGATCCAGACAAAGGACAATGACAAGGACGTGACAACTATACCCATTAAAAACCTTTACTTCCCTTTTAATCTAGAATTTAAGCTAATTAACGATAAATTAAATAATCTTAAGTCATTCTTTAGAGATGTAGAATATTCATTAAGTTTAGTTCATAAGTTCCCAAAATCAAATTTTGGTATTTACTCTAGTTCAGTGGCGGCTGGTGGATTTTATGTATGTATACCAATATCTCAGTTATTAGACATGGGACCCACACCAAGTTTATAATGACATTAAATAAACAAGTTCGGCGCAAACAGAATTTAAATTGAAGTTTGCGAAAAAAGTGGTGCAATTTATTATCTACTATAAATTATAAAAAAATTTAAAATTTTATTTAAAAAATCCAAATATTACAGATTTTATTCAATTTTAAATTTTTATTATTTATTTTTTTAAAATAAAAAAATATTTAAAATGGCATAAAACCTGTAATATTTATATTTTTTAAATAAAATTTTAAATTTGTCGATAAATTATTGTAGATAATAAATTGCGCCACTTTAATTTAAATTATCTTAAATAGGAGGCGGGTGAGGCAACAGGAAAAACTAACTTTTATCCACAAACTTCAATTTAAATTCCGTTTGCGCCGACCTTGTCTATTTAATGTCATTATAAACTATTATAAATTTGGTGTGGGTCCCATATCTAATAAGTGAAATATTGGTATACCCAAAATCCACCAGCCGTCTAGTTTAGTTAATCATGCTAAGTATATTTTATTAGAAGCAAGTAATAAGTTAAACAATATTTCCCCACACAAAATTAGTAAACGTGGATTATTGGTAAATCATCAAAATAGCTTTTTGGTACCCTCGATTCCGATAACGGACAAAAATATGACCAGGCAATTTCAGAAATAATTAAAATTCAAAAGAAATCTCTTTAAAAATGTCACTATCAACAAAATTAATTCAAAATAAATAATACTATAATATTCTTTAATTAAAATCAAATTTTATTTAAAAAACGTTTGGAATATTTTCAAATGCACGTTAATAAAACAATCGACAACATTGTAGCATAGCAGAATAAGAGGTGATAGACGAAATTAAAAAGTAATTAAAAACCCATTAATGAGTATATACCGACATTTTCTAATTAGGTGATTAGAAAATTTCATTA